TTTATGTAGCCCAGGCTGGCCTTGAATTTGTGGTGATCCTCCTGCCTCAGTCTCCTGAATGGTGGGATTACAGACATGCACCACTATGCCCAGTTTGAATTCTTTTTTTTTTTTTTTTTTTTGAGACAGGGTCTCGTTGTACAGTTCAAGCTGGTCTTGAGTTTACTATGTTTACTATGTAGCCCAGGCTGGCCTCAAAGTCACAGTGACCCGCCTGCCTCAGCCTTGCCAGTGCTGGGATTACAGGCATGTGCCACTGTGCCCAGCTGAAAGCTTACAAGGGTATAAATCAGTGGTCACTTCTGGTGGGGTGGGGGATTGACCAGAATGCCCATGTGTGATTTTCTGGGGTGTGGGGAGCGTAGTGTCATGACATGGGCACAGGTATGGGGGGCAAATGCAGTTGCCAAGTGTCATCAAACTGTAGATGTGAGATCTGTGCATTTTCCTGTACATAATTATATCTCACTTTTCAAACTGTCACTTAGGTGAGCCAGGGAGGCTCATACCCACCTGTAACCCCAGTGACTCGGCCTCAGCAGAAGAATTACAACTCAGCCTGGGCAGTTTAGCAGTTAGCAAGATGTCTCACAAGAAAACATTAAAAGAGTAGCTAAATGGGAAGAACATTTTGTTGTTGTTGTTTTTTGCTTTTTTGAGACAGGGTCTCGCTATGCAGTTCAGGCTGGCCTTGAGCGCACTTTGTAGCCCAGGCTGGTCTCGAACTCACAACGATCCTCCTGCCTCAGCCTCCTGAGTGCTGGGATTACAGGCGTGTGCCACCATGCCTGGCAACCTTGGGTTCAATCAACAGCAAAAACAGAGAGAGAGAGAGAGAGACAGAGACAGAGACAGAGACAGAGAGAGAGACAGAGACACACACACACACAGACAGTGGCGGGGAGCACGATGTGGACATTAAGTCTAGCAGGGAGATGACAGAGGTTGAAATACAGAGGAGCTGGAGAGGCAGGTGCAGCTAACCCTGACGGGTGGGGGTGGCTAGATGCTTCCAGCAGGAAGGTGAGCCCCAGGGCCGGAGGTGAGGTCAGAAGCTGTGAACCTCAAACCTCAGAGCAGAAGCTGTTATCTGATGGCTGGAAGTGTCACAATGGGGGCCACTCACTAACTCATGGGAGGAGAAGCCACCCACGTCTCACCCTGACCACCTCCAGCCAGCCCACAGCTGGCTGCTCACGGAATCGGCCAGCCTCAGTGCAAATCCACTTCATAGTCTCTCTCCCCTGATCCTTGCGCGGAGCTATACCTTCAGCCATTTTTTTTTGTTTTGAGACAGGATCCTGCTAAATTGCCCAGGCTGGGCTCGAACTTGCAATCCTCCTGCCTCAGTGTCCCGGAGAGCTGGGTTATAGGTGTACGCCACCACGCCTGGCTCAGAACGTTTCTATTTGCCACTGTGCTCTTGGGTGGGTGAGAAGAGTTTCTTTTGAGAAACCCCACCTTGGGCTGGGGATGTAGCTCAGTGGCACAGGCACCTGCCTGGCAAGCGCAAAGTCTTGAGTTTGAGTCCCAGTGCCAAAAAAAAAAAAAAACCCAAAATGAAAAACCACACCTGTGCCCGCTGATCTGTCAGCCCAGCCGCTCCCGTCCTGCAGGTTACAGTTCCCAGAGGGTCTCAGGTTATTGAAAGGGGCCCTTCAGTCTGCACATTTGGCAAGATTTATTCTAGATGGACTAAAGAAAAATCCCAGACCATCTTCAGACTCCGTGAGTTCTGAGTTATGACTGGCTGGGAGACCTGGGGGTCGAGCTCAAGGGCAGGGCCTGGTCACCCCGGCCCAGGACCGGAAAGAGCGAGGGTCACGCAACCCGAGCATCTGGGGCGGCAGCGTCTGGAATTTACACATCTGGCTCCCACTTTACAGATGTGTGCGTGGGACTGTACCGCAGGCTGAGGCCTCCCACACCGCCTTGCCCAGGATGAGCCGGGTGCTCCCTGCGTCGCTGAGTGCGCAGATTTACCTCGGCCGGGGCCCTCTCCCCACACTGTGCGCTTCTCATAGCTGAAGTGGAAGAGACAGTTTTCCCCTTACCGATCCCTTGGGGTGTGGACGGATGGAGTGTCAGGAGGAGGCAAAGAAAGGGACAGGGCAGAAGCTGGAATGGAGGCCTGGGGAAAAGCCACCCCGGGTGCGCGAGCGCTCCAGGACCAGCAGAGGGCAGCCTTGCCTCGCCCTGGATCCCCAGCTCCGCGCCCTCCGGTTAGACGCCCCGGAGGCGATGAGTGAATCCCTTCTTCTCAGTCTGGGTGACATAAGTGTGACCGGGTGACTTAGGGAAGATAAATAATGGAGAAGTTAAATAGTAATAACTAGCTTGTGAGAGAACTGGCATTTGAAGCCAGCTTCACTCTAAGCTAGCTTGCTTTCTTTTTCTTTTTTGTTCTTGAACTCACTGTGTAGCCCAGGCTGGCCTGGAACTCTTCAAGGTGATCCTCCTGCCTCAGCCTCCTGAGTGCTGGTATTACAGGCGTGTACCACCACACCCCGGCCAAGCCAGCACTCTTAACGCAGAGATCACTGCTCCTCCAAAAGAAAGGTTAGAGAGAGTGCAGCAAGGGTGGGAAGTGGACATTGTGTGTACCGCTGCAAAACACATAAACCTAGAAATAGACGCAGAGAGAAACATTTGTGTGAACTTAAAAGGGGCCAGCAGAAGGTATGTGCTGAGAGTGGGCACTTGTCCCAGGTGCTGCTTTCCTGGGTGTTGTGTTGTCTCCCTCAGGTGTGTGATACACACACCAGGTGTGTTGCCTGTTCTTGTTCTAGCTTGGTGCAACCTTGGAGTTCTGTGCAGTGTGACGTGTTCCGTTTATATCTGCAAAGCACATGGGATGGGCGCTCTGTAGGTTCCCAGTGAATGCCGTTAAATGACGAATAAGATAATATGTGAGTCAGTAGTACATGCACACCCATGCTTATAGCGGCACAAATGTAATAGCCAAGACGGGCATAGTGGTGCACACCTGTAATCCCAGCACTTGGGAGGCTGAGGCAGGAGGAAGGCCATGAGTTTGAGACCAGCCTGGGCTACAAAGTGAGATCAAGCCCAGCTTGAACTGCATAGTGAAACCCTGCCTCAAAAAAGACAAAAAAAAAAGTAATAGCCAGAACTTGGAAACAGCTCAAATGCCCACCAGCTGGCGAATGGATAAAGATGTGCTTTTCATACAGTGTAGTACTATTCTGTCATAAAGAAGGATAAGCTCAAGACATTCCTAGGTAAATGGGTGCACCTTGAGACCCTACTCTTAAATCAATCAATCAATCAGACACACATCTGTAAATACCAAATGGTTTCTCCAGTGTGAGAAACCGAAAGTGTAAATAAGAACCAAAATGTACGATAGGTATTGCAAAACAGAAAGACAATGTTCAAATGGGGAGGGAAAAAGGGAGGAGGAGGGAGATAGGAAAGAAAGGAAGAGCAAAAAAAAAAAAAAAAGAAAACAGGAAGCAAAGCGTTTGTAAGGGGGGAAGGGAGGAGGGGTTGAGGGAAGGGAGGGGAACGGGGGAAAAAGAATCAAGTTACATCACGCACAGGTACAAATTCTCTATGATGAACGTGATCATTATGTATATCTCACATGTACAAGTATTTTTTT